TGTGTGTGTGTGTATGTGTATGTGTGTGTGGTTGATTGGGTGGGGGTGGGGGGTGCGACCCATCCCCCACCAATTAATCAATAAAAATAAAAATAAAAAAAATCGATGTGTTTTGAGTATGGTCAGATTTTTGATTTTTTAAAAATAATTTAAATGCTAAAAACATAAAACTAAAAAATGGGGATGTAGAGCGCAAAAAACTCTACACCCCCATTTATATACATATATTTTGGATTATTTTTGCCCATGAAAAACGTTTTCGCGGGCCGCGTTGTTCTGCGTTTTGACGTGCTTTCAACGACCGTGGTAACGGGGTTTCAACGACCGTTGAACCTTTCAACGGGAAACCCCCGTTGAATCCAATTTCGAACACATAGCTGTAAGCTTTCTCGGCACTACATTAACCAAATCGACCCCTCGACCTTAGTCGTCGAGTTTTTTTTTTTTTTTTTTTTTTTTTTTGAAACGTGCGTTGTGCCAAGGCACGCACCTTGTGCATGGTTGGTTTAGGCGCATTCCAACTATCGATGTTGGCGTGTAGACTTCGCTCTGATAACTGAATCCTCGACGTTTTCGGTCGAAGGGTATTACTACCGATCCTAACCATCATAGGACACATCATAATAACGCGCGTGCATACTAGCGAAATTTTCTCACTGATTTGCCTCGGTCTCAATGGTCAAGGAAATCGTTTCAAAGTGCCACGCGAAAAATGCACGCGCTTTGAACTTCAGACCATTCTTTCATGGTGGTCGGTGCAATCACTCTGTCAATTGTCAAAACATGGCTAAATACACTTGTAAGGGTATTTGGTCCAACAACGGGTTTGAATCTTCTTCCTTAGTGATGAATGTGATTAACTCCGCATGTAACAAGCAATTTGTTAAAACTAGAACAAGAAAAATATGTGGCTTACAAAATCACATACTCTGTTTATATGAAAGTAATTTTTCAGGAAACGGAGTACGAAACTTGATTATGTGTCTAACAGAAGAAAAAGAAAAAACGTCATGTTTTCAGCAAATAGACCAACTACGGAGAACAAATGATAATGAAAGATTAATGGTTATTCCACAAATTTAAACTACGTTATATTTAGAAAATTGATAAAGAAAGGGACAATAATTTAGTTTTGAAATTTTTTCTTCTTTTTCTCATTTACAACCAAGTCAGGTATGCTAGGCAAAGTGATAAGAGTTTCACGCTCTAGCACCCCAGGTGCGGTTTCTCCCGTCCATTGGTTGGTAGAAGCACCTGCTGGAAACTGGGTCCAACGTCCGTGTAACTTGAACATATGATGCTACAGAGACTTTTACCCAACTTTGGAAGTTTGGCTTGTTCTCTGTCGCAACGAGGTCACAGTGGATCAACCACCAGACCTTATACCTTTGATTACGGGAGTTAATCGTCGACCCGATTGACGGCCTCACTTTTGTGTGGGTGTTGCTACCCACCTACCGGCTTCCTAACTAACAAAGTGATGTGCCGAGGCTCATTGTGTCCAACACAGCGCCGGGTGCCCCGAGAGACCCAGAATGATAGTTGACCAGTCTACACAACAAAATATTGGTCATCACCATACTGCCAAGTTCGAAGCTGCAGGAAGCGGGAGTGTACTTGCTATCTCAACCCATTCTTCACCCTCCTATGTGCCCCCTGTCCAATAGCGGGTGAACTTTTGCTTGTTCCTTGCCCGTTTCCCCCCCTCCCCCCAAAAGTCAAGTCATGGCACTGTGGGGTGTGAAATGGATACCTTCTAGCAGTACAACCCTCCATTGATCTAGTCTATTGGGAGGGAGCTTCACCTGTAGGAAAGTGGATCGAGCGTCCTATAATGTTTGCCCCACGAACAGGAACGGTCCGTCTGTATGTTCGACACTATGTATGTACGACCTCCGGTGGTCGTACGACCGTATGAACGATGGTTCGAACCCTATTTCTGGGCCTTCTAGGGGCCCTTCCAGAAACAGAAGGCAGGTGGGGTTGCTGATGCCGAGGGGGACCCCTCTAGAAAGGAAAAAAAAACTTTTTTGTAGCATGAAGGAAAAAAAAGAAAAGAAAAAAATTTCATCGATTGATTAATTGATTGATTGATGATTGCTTGCTTGCTTGATTGATTGATGATTGTTTGATTGACTGATTGATTGATCATTGCTTGCTTGGCATGCTTGATTGATTGAAAAAAAAGGCATATGCTCATGCACGCGCTCCCTCTTTCTCTTTCTCTCTCAGCAAGCAAATGAGAGAGAGAGAGAGAGAGAGAGAGAGAGAGAGAGAGAGAGAGAGAGAGAGAGAGAGAGAGAGAGAGCTTGTGTGTGAGTGTGTGTGCGTGTTTGTGTGTACATGTGCGTGTGTGTGCATGTGTGTCTGTGTGCGTGTGCGTCTCTATCTCTCTCTTTCTCTTGCGTATATGCACGCATTTTTGCAAAGAGACAGACAAAGAGTGAGGGAGTGCACATGCTCGCACACAGTCCCGCACATCAACATTTTGTTTTTTATAATTCCAATCCATGAATGAATCAATCAATCTTTCAATCTTTTTCTTTTTCAAATATATATATATATATTAATAAAAGAAAGGGGGTTCCCGGTCACCCCTGCCATCCCCTAAAGCGGTTAAATCGACCTGGTACCCCCCCCATGGGCCTCGAGCAGTAACGTATGGGCCTCCTCCTTACGACCGTACAACTATTTGAATGGACGGTTCGTCCGTATACCCTCCATACGGTGTACGGGGTTATACATTGGCAATTTGGCATGCCATTTTGTGCGACTTTTCTTCTTCCAGGTAAATCATAATAGCATATCGTTAATTTTCTCATTGACAAACAAAGTTCAAAGAGAGATGCATACACTGCCACCAAGGCGTAACAACAATTATGAATTACTCTTTTTTGTTTTCTTCGTTAATTTCGTGATGTAGTTATATACTGCTCAACTTGGGTTCTACATTGTCCTTTTTTTCTAATGAAAATACGTCTAGGCATAAAATTGAAACCTCTTTAGAATATTTGCTTATGTTTACCCATTAGGGCTATAACAAATATTGATAGCCAAGTTAGTAACTATGTTTTTTTTTCGGATATCCGGATGACCTTGGACCATCCCGTTCATCCGGCTGGAAATAGAACCTCTGAAGAACCCGGAAATAACCCTCCGGGGCATGGGCAAAATAGGCACAGGGTCTCTTCCTGGGATTTAGGGGCGCCTACGGGTTTCGATTAACCCCTAGGACCTTGCCACGGTGGAGTATCCGGTAACGGCCCTACCAAATTCGAAAAAATAAATGGCCCGATCTAGGCCATCGATCCACTAAAATCGACGGCCCAGATCGGGCCATTTTTGAATTCTAATCCGCGATAGTCAGTTTTGGACTGCATGCGGGTAGTGGCCTGAACCCCCCATCCCTCCCCAACAACGGTCCCCTGCCCCATCGCCGCGCTGCTTGCTGCTCGTCTGCCCCCATGTATTGACGCTGACGGGCCCGCTGCCCTGTTGTTCTGCTGCTGCCAGCTGGAGCCATTACCGCCGCTGCTGGAGCCTCGTCCGGAGCCTCCTCTGCCCCCGCCGTCGACACCAAGGTTAGCTTTGATGCTGTTCTCCTCCTCCTCCTCTTCTTCCTCCTCTTCCTTCTCCTCCTCGTCCTCATCGCTGTACGACCTCCTCTTCTCCCCCTCCTCCTCCTCCTACTCCATCTATTCCTCCTCCCCGACCTTCTCCTCTTCCTCTTCCTCCTCGTCGTCGTCGTCGTCCTCCTCCTCCTCCTCCTCTTCTTCCTCCTCGTCTTCGCCATCCTCCTCTTTGTCCTTTTCTTGCTCTTTCTTCTGCTTCTCCTCTTTCTCCTCTATCGCCGTGCAACCCCCTCTTCCTCCGTTTCCTCCTCCTCCTCCACGTATTCCTCCTCCTCGACCTCCTCCTCCAGATCCTCCTCTTGTTCCTCCTCGTCCTCGTCCTCCTCCTCCCCTTTCTCCTCCTCCTCTTCTTCCTTCTTGTTTTCGTCCTCCTCCACTTTTTTCTCCTCTTCCTCCTCCACATCCTCCTCCTCCTTCTCGTCTTCTTCTTTCTCCTCCTCCTCCTCTTTGTCCTCTTCCTCGTCCATATCTTCCTCCTGTTCTTCTTCTTTTTCTTCTTCTTCCTCCTCCTCCTCCTCTTCCTCCTCCTCCTCCTCCTCTTCCTCCTCCACTTCCTCCTCCACTTCCTCCTCCTGCCCTTCCTTGTCCCGTCCTCGTCTTCTACTTCTTTTGCTTCCTCCCCCTCCTCCTCCCCCTCTGCGTCCTTGTCTTCCTCCTCCTCTTTGTGGAGGCTCGCAGTGATACTGATGTGCAAATCGTTCATCAAACTTGGGTATAGGGGCGAAAAGTAATTGAACCGTGTAGTATGTGGTTCCCTCCAAACTTTCCCTCAGGATAGTTGGAGTTGTTGAAGAGTTTTATTGGGTAAAGTCTGTAAAGCGAATGGTCAGAGGACGACGAGGAGGAAAGGGCCGAGGAGAAGGAGGGAGAAAAGGAAGACGAGAAGGAAAGGGTCGAGGCCGAGGAGGAGGAGGAGCCGGAGAAAGATGAGGAGGAATAGGTGGAAGAGAGGAGGATGAGGAGGAGAAAAACGAGTAAGAGGAGGGGAGGAGGAGGATAAGGAGGAGGGGAGCAGGAGGAGGAGGAGGAGGAGGATAAGGAGGAGGAGGGGCAGGAGGAGGAGGAGGAGGAGGAGGAGAAGGAGGAGAAGGAGGAGGATAAGGAGGAGGGGAGCAGGAGAGGAGGAGGGGGAGCAAGAGGAGGAGGTGGAGAGGAGGAGGCCGACAGGGATGCTGTCGACGCACACTTCGACCCTCCCCCTGAATTTTTAATCAATCAATCAATCAATCAATCATAGTCATCAAAATCCAATAAAATCATGATTCGATTGGTCATTGAATCAATCAAGACCCATCAGAATCGATGGTCTTGATTGATTGATTGATTGCACCTGCCGCCCTGCCCCTTAACCATTTTTTTTGTTTTTTAACCAATCAATCAATCAATCAATGAAAAAAAAAAAAAAACTAATCGAATCAATCAATTCGATTGGATTTTGATTTCGAAATCAAGGTCCCGTCAAATCGATTGATTCAATATGATTTTTTTTTTTTTTTTGATTGATTGAGTGATTGATTGAACAAAAAAAAAGTTGGGGGGCTGGACAGTGGCTGAGGGGGCCTTTTTGTGGAGGCTCGCAGATATACTAACGTTGTCGAGCACATCAGTTCGGCACCGCACAAGGCAGCGTGGGACCCTCCCGGCCGCGTCACGCAAGAGTTGGTTTTAATCCTTCGTCGCGAATATACATGGAGCTTCCGCAAGCCGCTCCGGCCGAGTGCGCCAGCCATACCTCTCGCGAGCCCCTACGACAGGGTAGGGCCTACGTGGGGCGCGACTTACCTCCACCTTACGGGATCTGTCACCTCCCTTCGGTGGGCGTATCCCGGCCGAGCTACCAGTCTACAGTACGAAAGCTGATCAATTGCAATCGCAGAGGTGGACCAGCTGTGGACGTTTCTCGTTCGTTGTAGCATAGGGGGTACGCGCGGTAATACGCCTCTATCAGATCCGTACGCGAACCGACGGACTGGGGAGGCTGAAATCCCAAGCGCGGCCCGTCGTCGGTCGACTATGACGTATCCCACTTACCACGCGCACACCACTCTACGAACACAAAAATAAAACACACACATACAACGGCACGCGTGAAACGACACAACACAAACAACGCGACAATTCTCCTAGTCCCTTATTAGCTATTCCATAACTTTTCGATGCGATATAAAACCGCGCGGACGCATGGCTAACTCATATCGACTCGGAATGCAAGGGTACACAAGCAGTCGCAATGATGACTTACTATGTAATGCCCATAATCAGGCGGTCCCTCGTGGATCCGAGTACCGCTTATGACACTCAAGTGTCAGACTCGAAGTATCGTGATGGCCCGGTCTCTCACGATATTGCACGGCTGAAGGAATAGCCGTGCGACCGCCACGGGACCTCAGGCCTTTGGCTTGAGTGTCTTGGCAGGCGAGGGAAATAGGCTCTACTCGGGGACAGATTCCCTCTCCGCAGAGTTTAGGGCTTGCGATGTCCTGGACAAGGACCTCGAATTCCGGCCCAGGACCAACGTCCGACTACGAAACCCCCAAGAAGCAAACAAGTAAAATGAAGGGTTTTCCTTATGTCTCTCAGTCTTAACCCCTGAGTAAACTTTTAGTACGGTGGCCCTTAGGCTACGCGAACATCCATCCTAGGTACACCTATATATACATATATAACAGGGATAAACATGCGACGATCACTTCTCACAACCAAAGTGGGGCTCCTCATAACCATATGTATATGCGCGATCACAGGCAGTTAAATCCAAATTCCAAACCACAGGACATACCTGCAATCACATCAAAGAGTCTAACAAAGGTCCACGCACTACACAGAGTCAATCCCAATCACTCTCTATGCTCATACTTCTCGCTTTAGCCATGACAGACCCAACCTCCTGTCCAACGAACCAAAGTTAAATACTCAGTGCCTTTGTTAAATGACCATTCAATAAAAGTTCCGGTGAAACCTTAATGAAACAATAAAATCACGAGGGCTAAAGGCTTTTAGGTTGAGTATGGATGGTGAGTTGGAATTGAGTCGTAGACCGACGAATCGGCAACCGACCTATTATCAGTGATAACAAAAGATGATCCTTGTAGGATCAAGCTGAAACTAGTCCAAATCCTGAATCAAAATGGTCAAGAGGACCTGTAACACATGACATGTCAATCCCCAGGCTAAACTTATAAGTCCCTGAAGAACAATCCCCATATCACGATCTCACTCAATTCATCATAATTAATTAAGCCTGAATTTACCTTTAAGCAGTGCCCGAAGCAAAGGTAGACCCTGACATAATCTGCCCTATACAGAGTGGATCGCCAGAATCGTCACCTGTCAAAACATAGCCTAACTTCTTTAAACTAAGACAATTTCGGCAGCGCTTCCCTTGGGAAAAGTGTCTTTTCAGAATTTATACCAGCTCGAGTATGAAAACATAAATAATCTTTGACTTTCCAAAGTCCAATTTTGCCTAACTCCTTGAATTAGTAAAAATTTGGGCACTCCCTTTAGAAAAGGAGACTTTCCGGATTTTTACTAAGCCAAATATGAACTTTGGACAGACTGAACTTTTGAAAAGTCAAAAATTGACTAACTCCTCGGATTTGTAAAAATTTTGGCGGCGCTTTCCGTAGAGAAAGTAACTTACAAAAATTTATACAAGGTCAAGTATAACTAAAGATCCCTGAAAATGCGAAAGTTGATCTAAGGAAAAAAACTTGGCTCAGAAAATGCAGTAATTGACACTAACTCCTATCGCTCTAGCACGTGGCGAGCACTAAAGCAACTACCTGAAACTCAAACTAAGTAGTAGCCTCACTCAAACACATGCAGGCCAAACCACAAAGGTAAATACTATCACCATCCCAAGTATACCTGAACGAACAATAGTTCATGATCTTACAATGATTTAACCCCTTATACCCAGCTTACATAAGGCATGAGGTCAGGACACCCATACTTATGGAATGAACCTTACCTTAGCCAGACCTAAAGTCGGACCACCCTAACTTATGGAATGAGTCCAACGTAGCCAAAGTATACACAAACACAGGGCACAACAACTTTTCTCTTCTTTGGACATATGACTAGACCATTCTAGTCACCCTGAACTGTTTAAATACCCAAATTATATATATCTCTCTGATCTTAATTTTCAAAGTGGGCGTATGACTTAGCCATTCATCTTAGAAACAATGCTAAGTCGGCCCAAGTTACCTTCAGTTATATTCTTAGTTGTACCCTCTTCAGGTTCTGATAGGCTATAGTCAGACCACCTAAACTTATAGAACAGTCTGATTAGCTCGTTCATAGATAGAATAATAATAAAGTATAGCCAAATTATATCCTTGGGTTTCCACATGTGTGGGCTTTGAGTTAGACCACCTGAACTTACAGAACAGTCTGACTCTCTGCCTGATTCGTTCTTCTCTGATTCAGACTGTGCGTGGCATTGGGCTGAACCACCCGAACTTACAGAAAAGTCTGCCCCTTGTCAAGTTCATTTCTTCATTAAAAAAAACAGGAAGAGACTGAGCCACCTAAACTTATAGAACAACTCAGATCCCCTCGCTCAGGAACAAAAGATACTGGGAAAAACCCAAAAAACGAGACAACGAAAAACACCTAAACTTACAGAATGCCCTTGCCCCCTGAAACCAATCACAATCAAACCCTCGCAAGTCAGAGCAGTCAGACCACCTAAACTTATAGAACAGTCTGACCCTCCATGCAAAATCACGGCAAACTTATGGGGACTTCCCAGCCTCCAAAGCAATCAGACGTCCTAAACTTATAGAAGGATCTGACACTCCACTCAAGCAAAATAAACATAGCACCGAGTCTCCCCAAAGTTATGGGGACTTCCCAACCTTGATGACCCAGTCAACCTTATGCAAACAACTTTTCATCCTGCCCTTCCCAGATACAGTCTCTTTCAACAATCTGCTTTCACACAATCAACAAAAGCTGGAACTGAAATTGCACAAACACTCCTTTACTTAGTCTGATTCAATGTCCTGAAAGTCAGACAAAGATTAAAGTAAGGCTGCACACCATACACTCAGTCAAAGATGCAATGGGTATTACAGGTAGTGCTATAATTTGGGTTTATAGAAGGAAGCAAGAGGTTACCTTTCAGTTCCCTGCCTCTAGAACCCCTCCTGGGTTCCGGCAGAGTTCCCGTAATCGGTGGGGCGAACCTCCCACACAGGCCTTGACGCGGATTACGGGTTGCAATCCCGCCTGCCGCCTTCCTCTCAGAACCAGCAGACTAGACTTAGAGTAAGAAGGGCAAAAGGAGAAAATATGAGTCTCTCATATCCAAGAAGGGTGCTCTCAGACTCGTGGGAGATGGCTTGGTTTCTTGATAGGCCTGAGGGTCCCGCAATGGTGGTCAACGCAGCGACTTGATCAGCCCGAAGTCAAACTGCCGACGCAGGCTTAACTGACGACCTTCCAGTCTGCGACACTATCTCTCTTGCAGTCCAGTCATTCCCCCTGCACTACACCTTTGCTCCCCTTGACGAAGTTGCAGTCCCCCAACCCCAAATAGTTGTATTCAAACAACGCAACAATCCTAAGTAAACCCAGTAATTGCTGATGCAGCACAACAGCCGAGACAGACGGTGGAGCCCACAACAAAAGAGCAACAAAAAATATTGCAGTTTTGCAGTCTACTCCTCTCTCCTCACTACCCTGCACAACAGCATGAGCGGCGCCCTGGCTAACAGATAAGTCTGCAGTCCCCAGTTTGCCTCCTGCTATTCCTTTCATAGATGAGTCAAGCAGCACCCTCGTCAATAGGTGAGCCTCAGCCTAGCAGTATACCTTACTCCGGTCCCAACAAAAACAACTCCTGCACCAACTGCAAGGTAATCTCTGGGCTGTGGTGTGTTACTCCTGCTCAGCAGGACCTACGCTGTTCTGATCGACAAACAAGCCTTTGCTCCCCCCCGGTTGTCGCCTCTCCTGTTTTTAGTGAGTTACATAGTGGATGACCAATCAGTCCCTCTACGAGGCTGGCCACAAGGATGCTTCCTGCATGCTGAAGCCTCGTTCGTCAATTGGGTTAAACAAATAGACCACCTCTCCCTATGTGTTCAGTGCCCTGACTGCGGCCAACGCTGCTATGGCTAGTAAGGGACTCAGTAAGGTCGCCAAATTGGCCAGCCGACAAATCTCCAAGCGTGTAACTTTGCTACTCTTGACGCTTCAATGGACGTAGTCAACAGCGCGTCTCTCATCCAGCACGAGATGAATGCATCCCGACACTTTGTTCAACTGGGTAGGCCGCGGATCGACCACAGGTAAGCACCTTGTCCTCCTCCTTCCTTTCCACTCCTTCCGCCTTCTCTCTCTCCTTCTATTTCTAACAACTGTCTCTCATCCGACGCGTCCGACTGATTTTCTCCATCTGGATACGCAAGGCTCCGACCTCCACGTAAGTCTCCCTCATCGCTTTCTGCCGGCAACACTCTTAAAGAACTCACGGTCAAAACCTGAATGAATCTTTTGCTAGAATACGGACAGATACACCGCCAGCTTCGGATCCGCCCCTCCTGCGCACTACTCCTATACCGTATATCCACCTATCTACTAACGTACTAAGCGATCTAACCCTCCTATCAAGCTCGCCTACCTCCAAAGATGGGCGGGTTACAAGGCTTCTTATTTCCTTCGGCTCCCGCTCATTTCCGCCATTGCTCCCTTCGACATCCCTACGCGGACTCTCTCCCCACTAAATCTCTCCCTACTAACTTTCGACCGAACCAACACTACTATCAAAGTCGCCTTATCTGGAAACCCCCGTTTAGGACTTCTCCCCGCTCGATTCCGTTACGAATCGAGCAAGATACTGCATTCCCCTTCCCCGCCATAGTCGACTCTCCGCCATCTTTCGGTGCAACTATTCTTCTAACTAACTCCTTTCCTACTAACCCATTACAAAAACTAGCTTTAGATTCGGGTTCGCCCTGTGTCAAAACCCCCACAATGGGCCTCCATTCACCTTCCATCAAGGAACGGGTGAGTTATGTGATCTTTACCTCCACCATAGCCTCTCTCTCCTCATATTCGATTCCGAATGTACCTGGCGCGATTTAGCGTCCAGGTTTTTTTCGTTTCCTCCGCTGCCCCGTCGCCCTCGGTCACTCCGCACTACTTTCTGCTTGTACCTGCGCCCGACCTTTAGGCCGCCCGCTCTGTTCGTCCAAAGTTCGAAAGGAAACTCGCACACACTCAAGCACCCGCATCTCCCTCGATACCACATGGCCCGACAACGCTTCGACTATCAAAAGAACCGTCGGCTGTCGGACCTGGCGCCAATTTATGCATCCTGCTTTTGCGTTGGGGCCCCGCAAATTTCTTTCGCGCAGTCTTTTACGTTGTGCAACCCCCTATATCCTCAACAGTGGATGTACCTGGCGCAACTCGCGTCCAGGTTCTTTCCGCGGCCACTATCCCTACCCTCCGTCAGGAGATCTTCCGCTAACCGCTCGTCATTTCGCCTGCTGCTGTGCAACGTTCGCCCGACCAGCCTCGCTACCCCTCCTTAACTCGCTGCGCCTGCACCCGGCGTCCGACCCCGTCCCGATTCATCCTTCTTCGTCACTGTCTCCACCTCCTGCTCCCCGACACTCCGCTCTCCCACTCGCCAGCCTAGCGCTCGTAGCTGCGCTGTTTCCACATTTGACTATCTTGGAATGAATGCAGTGGACTCAACCGCTTCGGCGCAGCAACTTTCTACCCCTATACTATAGTCCGACAAACGACCGACACATTGGTATAGCCGCGCCCCCCTTGGCTCCTTTCTTCGAATGAATGCGGCGCAAAAAGCGCCTTGATCCACCCTCCAACTTTTCCACGGCCGATGCCTATCGCCCCTCAACACTATGCTATGCTGCACTGCCCGACCAACCCCCCCTCCCTGGACAGTCTCCGCACTCGCCCCCTCTCTGCACTTGTAGTACCCGGTGCAGTTTCCCGCCCGGGTTCACTCACCCCTTCACTGCCTCCTCATCGACCAGGTAGATGCTGTCTCCCCCGAGGGGCCATGCTAATCTTCTCGGTACCATTCCAATTTTAACGGATGTTCCGAAGGACGCCGACCAGGGCAGTGCCCTGCGGCTTTCCGAACCCTATGTCGGGCTCGGATAGGAAACAGAAGAAAAATAATAGCAGCAAAATTAAAACCACCCCAAAGAAGAAATAAACGAGAAAGCTAAGGGGACTGGGGCGCGGGACTTACCCGACAAAACTAAGTGGGATAGTCCCGCAGGACCCTCAAGCCCTCAGCCCTCCCAACACTTCGCTGCTCCTGTGCCA